CAGCTCTGGCTCCCCATGTAAACAAGGGCACGACCCCAAACATGCTCCCCTCACTAAATGGGCTCTTTCTGGCAGCTGCAGACCCCAAAATGGCTGACTTTGTGGGGTGAGAATTGGAGCCAGAATGGCTGGCTGACTGTATTACAGGGGGGGAACGTTCTGTTCTTCATTACTGCCGCATTTCTGACTGTGTACTAAAGATGTTGGGTTGTCATTTATCCAAAATGTGTTAGTAGTAAAGCTCAGCACTCAAACACCCCCAGAATGGATGACTTTGAGGGAAGGGAGTGCATGGTGTCTGCAGGAGTTGAATGTTACATTTGCTCCAATCTGGAGACAGATAGGCACAGTAAGTAAAGATGTGATTTATTACCAGGAAAACTCAATAAATTACAGATTCATTAAATGCAGAACCAATTTATTCGTATGGACTAAATCATTAAAATTAAGTTAACACAATTTAAAAGTGGAATCTAGTCCTAGATTTTTATGCAGTCTGTAATAACTGCAACTAACGATTTATGTTGTTATGTATCTATTTGCCAATGATTTCCTCAATTCAACAAGTGAAAAAATGCCCATCACAATCACAATTTCTTATTTCTCAAAAGTTGACATGTGCAATTTAAGCAACAGTTTAAAATTCTGAGATATTTGCTTTAAGGAAAACCAGCAAATATATTTTTAGCTATTCTTTGTGCTCTTGTTATTTTTTATTCTGCCCTTTCTGTATGCTGTTGCAAACTGCAATTTCCCCATTGCGGGACAAATAAAGGTTTTCTTATCTTATCTTATCTTTATATTTTTGAAACAAATTGATTTAAATGATTCACCGATTATTCAAAATAGTTGGAAAAGAAGATGACTGGTTGTTCTGTATATCAAAAATGTGTGAGGTGCTCTTGGGAATGGGGAAAAAACAGGATTACCTGGAAGGCAATACAGGCAAGCCCTGAAGAGGATCTACAATAGTCAAAACATGTTGGGTTGTTTTAACGATTCAGCAACTACAATAAATACTTTTAATACTTCCTTCCTCACTGCCGTATGTAAGAGTGTCTGATTGACTTCCAGTTTATGCCTAAAATAGTTGTTGATTTATTTTCTGTCAATTTATCAGGTCCATCTCTTTCTCTAAAATAAGCGTTAGCTATTGTTGCCATCCTTCTTAAAGGTTAACTTTAATTGGCATTTAGATTAACACAAACAAATAAGCAAACGAGGATCATGAATGGCAGATTATTGAGAATTATGATGTGCTTACATGGGTGTGGGACAGAGATAGAGAGATAGAGTCTATGACAGTGAAAAACAGAGGGAGCATGTCAGAGGGATGTGTGTATTCCTATGGGGGATTTTGTGTGTGTGTGTGTGTGTGTTTGTGAGCAACACAAAGGGAAACAGTTGAAGATCTGATGCAAAGTTCAGACACACGCATACATGCATGCACACACACAGACACACATTGCGGGCAGAAGTATGATAATGACATGGAAATGATATGGTAATGATATGGTAATCTGGCAACATTATTCTGCCCACCAGAGACTAGGAGGGAGAAGAACCTGCCACAACACACACACACACACACACACACACACACACACACACACACACACACACACTTACCACTGCACAGGGATAAGGTGAAATCTATGGACTGACATGGCTAAGCAGAGAGTTAGACCGGTGTGGGGGATGGGGTGTGTCATTGTCAAAATGTTGATGGTGAGAAGTATCTTTGGATGATCACGCACACGCGCACACACACATTTTATTTTGCTATAAATTGTAATATACTGCACTTTTTGTGTACCACTTCACAAAACTTACAAATGAAAATCAGCGCTGTGCTGCAGAAGAAAATTTCTACATATTAAGAGTTTGACAGAATTTTTCTTTTAACTCTGTGTCTACTTACTAGATATATTTGAGCTTTTCATCCGAATCACTGCTGACGACAACTGAGCAAACTTCATCCACTGATGAACTGTCACAAGATAATTGCTGGAAAAAGGCTGGTTAGAGGACTAACTTCAAACATTTTGTGAACCTGAACCCTTACACTCAAATATATTTATATTTATAAATAGGCAATATATAAATTATATAGGATATACATATATTGTAAAAAGTGGACTATTAATAGACCTTTTATTACACAGGCTGCAACTTTTTACATTGAATACAACACTGCCACCCTCTGGATTAACCTGTACACTACAGGCTCTATAATGTACAGTATTTGCAATATACTGATTGTAATGAAACTGTGGCATTATTGTAACTTGGATAGCAGTTAAATGGAAGTGTTAGGACTTCAGAGCTTGTGATTTTATCCATACGTATGTCTATAGAGCTAATAAAAAACATACATTATGCAATTATATTATTTTTGTGAATGAAATTATAGTTGTATGGTGCCTGTATCCTTTTCAAATCTACTGAATTACAATAGAATTTTTAAACAACCCTTTCTAAATATATATCAAAAAGTAGAGATGATTTAAGTCATCATTTGTGAAAAAAGAGGAGTAAAGTAAGGGCAATGAAATACAAAAGACATCAACAGATTGTCGACAAAAACAAACCATATGAGCTTTCAACCACATCTTGTTGTCTTGTTTGCTCTGTTACTGTTATTTCAGACTACCCCCATAATGAATATATACAGTATATTTGTTCAAAGGAAGACCACAAGACGCTCTGGAAAGAGATAGTAAGTGGACCTTGAGTGAGGATCTTTAAATGTGAAAAAATAAAACTGCTTCCAAAAGTAAACTGCTGATAAAAAGACCAACATCACCATTCCTTATTATTTCCTTTCCTCTACCTTTCTCTCTCTCTCTTCCTCCCTGGTTGTCACAGTGTTTCCCTTGCTGCTCCCCTTTAAGTGGCTGTGATTGACAGTTGGGCTATATCCATGCAATATCACCCAGCGCACGTTCCTATTCCCTCCTGGAGCCTTCATCCACCGGTCAAATTAACCTTCCGTGCCAACGGGAGGGGGCCCTGCGTGGGCCAATCAGCAGGTGATTAGGCCGGGGGTGGGAGGGGTGAGGGGTCACCGCGATGGGGCCATCGCAAGCCTGATTGGTTTCAATCAGCAGCCAGCCGCAAGGACAGCTGGGAGCTGAGCCGCAGTGAGCGCTAATCAACGCGTCCCACAGTGAGGCATGAACAGTCACCACACACACACACACACACACACACACACACACACACACACACACACACACACACACACACACACAGGTAGATTGATGTGTGTACACACTGACAACACGGACATCACTGTGTGTACACATTCACACAGAGACAAGAAACACACACAAATACACACAGCACGACATGGGAAGCAGAAATGAACAGTCAAGACCACAACAGATAAACAGAAAATCCCATAATGGAAAAGCAGGGAAAAAAAGAGAGAGAGGATGAGGCAGGGAGGGAGACATATTCTGAGCAACCACAGAATCTCACAGTAAATTGAATGACTAATTGCATTGGATTTGTTAATTTGACCACTGGCACATCTGATAGGGGCCCGTGACATTGGTTAGCGATGCTCTGTCCTACAAACCACAACAACACCTCTTCTGTGATGTCTCAAATGTGGAACAATTCAGATTCTCCCCGCTATGTCTGATGTTATGCTAATTCTTGTTCAAATCTCAGTAAAGCACAGCATTGATCAGATGAGATGGAAGAAGTCACAAAGAGTGCATTATAGCTCCTCTTCAGTTGGTTGAAAGAGGAGAAGACACACTGATCTGCTCTGGTTTCTATTTATGACAGTCAGTGTAACTGATCATTCAGAGGAATGTCTGCAGAGCTACAGGAGGAGGATTTGGGTGTGTTTGGTGCCCATCAACAATGAGACTTGCTTGAAGTGATTTTTCCAGAGGCACAGGAAATGTATAATTATCAGCTGTGATGCAACAGTGCCGCCAGCGTTTAATATTTGACCTGGTAAACAACAGGTCAAAGTGTTTCGTTTTCATTGTCTTTTCTTTTCATAAGGAACACAATAAGTCAGACATGATCTTCCCCTAATCACAGTGACACAAACGTAAGGAATTTCACAGTTGCAAAACAAGGAAGGGAAACTTTTTCTGTTTATTCCCCACCATGAGTTGTTATTAGTTGTAGTGCCACAGACAGATGCCATACCAGAGCCTCTTCTTTTGGAGACTAAATATACGTAAGAGATAATCAGTCTGAATTTTCCATTTCCTCTTACCGCCATCACAAGGTGGCACAAGATTTTGAAGATTTTCAACATCTTTCCCTCTCTAAGGTTTGTGTGAAATGATATCAGCCCCAAGAAAGATGCTCTATACTTTCAACTATCACATATATTTAAACAGATACAAAAACATAACAGAGAAAACCATAATAATTCAAAAGGGTAATTCAATTACTTAATACTGATTCGTGTGGCAATGGCCTTTAACAGGAAGTATTTTTGTACATCAGGAAGAACAAAATAAGTGAGTAGCCTATGTTAAAAATACCAAATAAAATCGCAAAATGTCTATAAGGGCCGATGAATTATTCCTTTGATTTTTGAATGACTACATTATATTTATCTAAGAACTCCTGTGTGTCAGAGTTTTAGAAATAAGCACATAACTGCAACTGATTGACGCTTCACAGTGTGTATTTTTGTATTAGTATTGTTTATGTATTATTTGTTTTGTACTTCTGTGCACTCTTTAATGTTTTCTGCCTATATGTACAAAGTATACATCTATCTAACGGATGTTTTTATCCAAAGTGACTTACTGTAAGTGCATTTCCCCATGTGGATACATATGGGTATACATTTGTTACTTAGCACAAAAATAAAGTACAGCTGAGGCTGATCGAAATGTCATTAGTTTTGCAGGTATTTAGTCATAGTCTAAAGTGTTTGACGGATTAAAGCTCTGACATGATGGTGGCACTAGATTAAAAGTTAATGCATCACTAAAATTATTAAATAGATATATAATACATTTTCTTTTTGAAATTTCTGTTTATTGAGGTTTTGTAAAAATAATGTTCGAAATCTTACATTTCTTTATACAAGGGAGAATAAAATACATAAAATAGAAAAAATAGATAGGCATCCACTAGCTTATACCATACATACTGAACCCCAATACACGCAAGAATATAATAAAAGGAAAAGTGAAAGTAAAGTAAGTAGCTAGCAGAGCTACTACAGAGAGCTGTTATTATAACAGAGTAAAGGAAGTAGTGCAAATGTAAGGTGATTAAAAAGTAAAACAAGTGCAAGAATAATGATTACTGTGGATAATATAAAATGTAAACTGAAGATAAATATATAAATAAAAACAGGGGCAGATTGTGCATAAGGCTAACATAACCACAAACAGGCAGTCTAGCAATTACAATTTGACCTGAGAGGAACATGAATCCTTGTTGCACATTTCATAGCAATTAAATTTTAAAGACATTTACAGTAAAAGAAAATGTAACTGCTGGTGGCGGTAGGTGAAAAGTCAGTTGATCCTCATCGTCATTAGGATTAATTCTCTGAGGAGCAGGTCCTAAACTAAAAGGATTGCTTTTTGAAATCATCAAAGTGAAAATACTTGGATTTTGGACTGATTTTTCCATTACTATTTTTCAGACATTTTAAGACAAAAAATAAGCCCATTAATCAATAATGAAAATGTTAATGGCAGCCCTTGATATTTGAAGCATTACATTTTGTGCTGCAGTTTTAAACATTTCAATTGTACACTGTCCCTGTTAAAATAAACCAATAAATAAAAAATAAATAAAATAAAATAAAACTTTTAGCTCTTGCAAATCACTGCTGGCAAGCTCGAATATCTCTTTAAATGTTTCTTATTGAAACTGTCGTCATTCTGCAGCCTAGTGAGCTGTGGGTTGGAGACTGGAGAAAGAGACAATGATGACTGATCAGAGCCCATGGGTGGGTTTTGATCAGTCAGTGGAACTAATGACATCGAATTTGACATTGGTAACTCCACATCAAAAGCAGGGTTTTGGATCCCTATAGAGGTCACTGAAGATGAGTTAATTTCTGAGATACTACCCAAGGAATGATTTCTAACATCCTGGCGGAACGCATGCTCTGTGTTTGCTTCCTTCTTGAATAGAATAACGTAACACTTTGTAAAAAACTGACAAAACAGGATGCCGTAGGCTGAGATGAGGATGACGACCATCTCCACTGCTGGAAGGTACTGGCCTGTGACATTGACATAAACTGGGACAAAGATGATCCAGCAGATGAAGTAAATCAGCATAGCAAAGGTGATGAACTTTGACTCGTTGTAACTGTGAGGCAGCTTTCTGCCTTTGAAAGCAACACCAAAGCAGATAAGACATAAAACACCAATATAGCACAGCATGGCTCCAAATGCCTCATTAGATGTCTCCTCGCACCTGAGCAGACGCTTCGTGTTTTCCAATTTGGCCCATTTGGTTTCTGGAGACTTGAGTGCAAGCCACAGAGCACAGATTATAACTTGACCTGACAAGCACACTGCAATAATGATGTAAGGCTTGTAGAGCTTATTCAGGACTCTTTTAATGCTGGGGTCAAACTCAAAGGCCAAGATGATCTTAAAGGACTTGACCATGATACAGGAGACACACAGGGTGAAGCTCAAGCCAAACAGTACCTGCCGTGCTTTGCACTGCTTGTTGTTGGGTTTACCACCAAATAATATCACACTCGCAAATGTGCTCAAGAGAGAGAAGAGAAGGATGATGCAGATGGGGCCCACAGATGCACGCACAACTGGGGTATTCCAGCGTGCAACGAAGATGATCCCAACAACAAGGGTAAGCAGTGCACCTAGAGCAGTAAATGCCAGAAGCGTTTTATGATACTTATCAGTCCATTTCAGGAACAGAATTTCTTTGAGCATACATGTTTTACTTCCCATGGGGGAGTAATGGGTCCTGGTATCACACAGATCACAAACTGTAGAATCTGTAAACAGAGGACAAATGCTCATTATAATCTTCAAGTTGGATATACGTGATTCCTTACAGTTGACAAGATGATAGACCTCATAGCTTAATGTTTTTTTTATTGTATTATACAGTTAATCAATGTTACTGGTGTTTACTGATACATACCACTGGTGTTGGAAAAGTGGTTCTCGGGACAGGATTTGCATTCATAGCAGCAAACAGGTTGGCCCTGAGCTGACTGCTTCCTGGTACCTGGAGCACATTTATTTGAGCAAATGGAAATCACATCTCCCTAAGAAGAGAAAGTGTCCTCATTATGCAACTTTTTGGTAGAGTTCATCAATATACACAACAGTCTTTGAGATATAGGAAGAACATTACAACTAAAGCTTTGGTGAACACTAAGATTAGCATGCCAACATGTTCACAATTGCAGTGTTAACTTGCTAAGCTTAGCTTAGCTTTGCATGTTAGCATGCAAACATTTGCAAGTAATTGGTCATTCACAAAAGTATTGAACAAAGTGAAATTTTGAAGTTATTACAATTTATCCTAGGGATGACATAAATGTCGCTACCAAATTTCATGGCAATCTACCCAATAGTGGTCAAGACATTTCACAAATAATTTAAAATGTCAACTTCACTGTGGCGCTAGAGTAGAAGTTAAGGGGATCACCAAAGTCAGTAAAATTAATCTTCTAGGGAATATTAATGCCTATAGAAAATGTCAAGGCAATAATCCATCGGTTACTTATGTTATATTATTTTTAAGCTTGCGCCAAAGTGGTAGACCATTTGTCTTTGCCATTCATAATGTCACACCACTAACATGTACTGTAGAAAATGAGGATATGTAGACACATAAGAGTGATTAATAATGATAAGAGTAAAATAACTCATAAGAGGACAACCCTTACTGTGACACTGGTGACTTCTTGTTGTTTTTCTTGTGAGATAAAAGTCAACGTGTGGTTTTTTTTAATACTAAAAGTAGCTACAATATTGTGCACATCCACAGTGGTTGGTGATTTCTGATTCCACAAGATGATATCGTATCCTGAGTTAAGATCACCGTTCTTGTCGAATGTATAATTATTCCCATCCATGGTGAACGTTTGCTTCCTTAAGGCATCTCGTAACTGAAAGAAAAAGAATTTGTGATTCTCATTTAATTTCCACAAAACATTTTATATCATATACCTTAAATCAGACTTTTATCATTGATAAAGTTTATAAGGTCAACTTTTTTAGCAAACAGTGGTCTATTTATACATCCAGTAGATAAGGAGAAGCATTCACATCCATTTGTTTCTGGCCATGTGATGAATCTAAGTCCAATATTCAGTCTCATTTTTGCTCTGTTTTTGGTCTCCACCAAGTCCTGAGGGAAAAATCTGGCTCTTTAGCTTCAAAATGCTGCAGTTGGTTCACTAGCTAGTGGCTAATGGTTTCTGTCTGTCAAGTGGTGCTGGGAAGGTAGTGTACAGGGGACTTTTAAGAGTGTTTTGCTGAAAACAACTGAATGCAGTGAGAGTGAATCAAAACAGTAAAATTGTGGGACTTTAGAGTCAGGTGATAAATCTCTATGGATTTGCTTAAAGGGACCCCATTCACATACAAGTAGCCATGTACTCCAATATTAATATACAAATATATTATATCCTCTTTAAAATGCAGTGGTTTCATCATGAATATATATGTGTATGTGTGTAAGTGTGTTCACCTCAGAGGGCTGTAATCTCTCTCTTGTCTTACAGTCCCTTTCGATGCAGAGGTTTGCAACAGCCTGACCAATAGCTTCAACTGCCAACTCAACACTGAACACAGCATATGGATATATCATATTGATTAATGTCTCAATGGCTGTGTCATTGGCAGTTCCTGGCTTCGCCCTTTTTCCTTGTTGTGTCTGATTCTTTAGAAACTGATACAAGAATACATTGTTCCTGTGGTGTTCAGGATCTACATCAAGATTCTTGAGATACTGCTCAAATTTGGTTGGGTTTCCAGATTTCAATGTGGTCCCAAAGATTGTTCCTACTTCACTCAAAGTCCTCCCCCTCAGTATGCTAGGTGATTGCGACCAATTATCACTCGCCACCCAAACTTTCCCCTTGCCTTTAGGCTCCTTGAGAAGACGGTTAAAAAGATACATCATATGGTTAGGTTTGGCAAAGGACACAATGACCTTGACATTTGTATTTTCAGTAATGCTTTTGACTGTAGCACTGATAGAGTCCTGAAGTTGGCTGTCACGCAGAACATCTGGAAGAACAGAAGTGAAGGCGAAGCAGATGTTGGTGCCTTTTGCATGCTGCTCGAGGCGTTGAACTGCGTAGCGACCATAGTCACCATCCGTTGTCACTATACCGACCCAGGTCCACTGGTGGCTTTTTAGAATATTGAGGATGGCGCGCACTTGGTGATCATCCTCTGGTACAGTCCTCATAAAGCTTGGAAAACGTATTTTATCACTCAGGAAACCAGTAGTTGCACCGTAACTTATCTGAGGGAATATCACAGAGCAGCACAGTAAATAGAGAAACACACAAGATTGATATCACAAATTTTGTCTGCATTCATATACTAGATATCTTTAAATGGAAATTTTTGGACAATATGTACATTCGCTTTCCTGCCAAGAATTAGATGAGAATATTGATCCCACTCTTGGTAAATATGAAGCTAGTGCAAGTGGCCAGCGATCTTTATTTAGCATAAATACTTGAATATCGAAAGATAAAAAGGTCTCATTTGTTGAATCTACAATTTTATTGGCTGGGAAAAGTTGCTTCCTGGAGTTTCTGCTGAAGACTGGTTTTTGTTCCCCTTATTTTCAGGCTTTCTGCTAAGCTAAGCTGAGCTAACCAACTGCAGGTAAATGTTTTAATTTCTATTTCTCTAATTTCCCCAAATGTCGACACATTTAAAAAAGATTTGATGATAATTTTTTACATTTTAGATCTGAGTTCTGAAGTTTATGAATATAAAATCTGTCATCCAAAATCATACAATACAAAATACATAACAATCAAGAGTAGGTCTTTAAGCTCAGTCATACCTGAGGAATGTTCTCCAAGTTGAGTAGCCTCGTAACCGCAATGGATATCTCCGAGTGGTAACCACCGACGACAGCCAATACAGGTGGGGAGGGCTGCTCTGCAACACTCCTGGTATCTGAAAACATGTAATATAATATGATCAAATAAACATTATATTATATTACTATATATTACTGTATATTATATTATATTCCTAATTCTTTAGGATTTTTAAACTATATCAATCTATAGCTGATAATTCCTTGATTTCCATTACTGTACATCCATCCCCATCATGCCATCATTTTACATTGCAGTTGGCCCATTTCCAGTCAGGTTCCTGTAGTTCAAAAGTTGTCATAACTAGGGATGGGGATCGAGACCCTTTTCTATAAAGACTCTGTTCCAGATTCCGCAAAACCTGAAAATCAATCAGGTCTGAGCTTATCAATACTGATATCAAGACTAGCGGGTCCCATAATGTTATGTCTCGAGTAGGGCTTAAACAAACAGAAGCCTTTACTCCACTGCTGAAAGAAATCATAGAGGAAACTCTGAAACAAATGTAAAAGGCATGTGTTATTTTCTCTATTGTATTACTATTGCATTATTTCTACTATTAAATAATCAATAGAATACTCGATTACTTAATTAACCGATAGCTTCAGCCCTAGTTGAGAGATGAGAGTCATTTAAATTATATCACTGATACACAAAGATACATCGATTGTCTAATAAAGTTTTTGAATTAATTTGCCTACCAACTGTAATTAAGCAAAACAGCAATACCAGTTCTGTTAAGAAGTTATTGTCGTCTCGTCTTTCTACCAAATAGAAAATTATTGATAGTGTTATTGATAAAGACTCAGATCAATAAGGAGTCTCAAAAATGGTGTCAATATCAATAAAAAATGAATGATCCCCATCCCTAGTCATAACCAACAAGACAAAGTCTACACTGGCAGATAAAAGTCATTAAAATAAACTTAAATATTTTTCTTTTAGATAGTTTATAAGAATAAGACCTAATACTTAAAACATATACATTTACCAAAGAGTGACAGCATAGTATCTGTGATCTGCTTTGTAATGACCAGGATAATTACAATGCATGTTACAGAAACATTTTGAGTAAATATATTTTTATTTTTGTGTTTGTTAACACAATGAGTGTTAGCTATGATCCTAGGAGCAGCAGAGGGTGAGGCAATTTGAGAAAGAATAATTGTTTTGTGATACAAATGAAGAGACAAGAAAAAAGGGTGAGCATCAAATACTTTTACAAGCCAGCTCTTGTATTCAAGGTAAGATTTGAGCACAGCAAAAAAGATTGTTAATAAGTTCTTACACTAAAGTTATTGATAAAGTTATTTTAAATCAGTGTATTACACTTCTGGTCCTGAGACTACTCACTGTTTTTCCTCATGAAGGAAAGGGCCTTTTTCAGGGAAGTGGTAACGTCAGAGCAGGAGTCCACTATACGATACCCAAGGGTTAGATTCCCCAACACCTGCCTCTTGTTTACTTCCTCCACCGCATGCACCATTATCAGAGACTGGACCAGCCGAGCCGTGCTGAACCTGTGTCACACACACACACACACACACACAATTACATACAAGTGCACCCTACTTTAACACATTCACATTGTTACTGCTCAGTGTGTCATAACAACACACACACAGCAAGGTAAAAAAACCACACATACCTGTCACAGATCCATGTACCGTTGACCTCTTTAACACTTTCATGTATTGGGAACAATCCTCCAATGATAATGTCACCTGGAGCTGTGGCATCATCCAAACATGTGGCACCAAAAAACTGGTCTAGTAAAACCGAGGAAAAGATGTAGAAAGTAAAAAAATGTTTCATCTTCTTCTGTTATATTAGTACAAATCTGCTTCAAAGTGGCTCTGATTTCCAAAATCTGCTCTCAAATTTCAGTCGTGTGCGTCAGGTCAGTGTGGCAGCAGAAGACCGAGTGTAGATCAACTTGATACTTGATGCTACTTAACTTTCCCAGCGGGTGTCACCAAGACGTCATACGTGTGGAATGTAAATAATGTCGGTTTTCTTCCTGTTCCTATCATTAGTGACCACAGGCTCATGATTTAGCTGAAGGTTTGACATATGCAACATGTTTTGTTTTTTTATTAATTGGTCATGTTGCTGTAGTTCAGTGATGTGAAGTCCTGTTCACTTTGTGAAAAGATCATTGTAGTGACAGTTTAGTGGGCCCATGCTTGACGGCAGCAGTATTATATAATACCAGCCTCTCATCAAACTTTACCTTGGCAAGAAGATAAAGGAAGGTATTAACCCGAGTAAAGGAGCCTGCTCTGCAACCAATTGTTTATGGATAGGTTCTGTGGAATAAACTACTTCCTTGTCTCTGTTGGCTAATTTCCCAACAAAACACAAGCAATCAAAACTACAATAGCATATTATTAGTCCAAACTGACATTTTACTGACAGCTGAATGAGTTTTAAATTTCCAAAACTGATGAATTGACTTGGAGCTAATCATTGAGTCAGTCACTTGAATCACGTTTTGTCTTTGTACCGCTCAATAAAATTATAACTAGAGATGTGTAGTGCACTAAAACCCTAGTGGTGGCATTTCCAAGTTTCAAATAAGAAGATTTTAAAACTGGCATTTAAAAAAAAAAAAAAAAAAAAAGACACCTGTTGTTTACTCTTTGTTTGTCATCTGTCCGGCTATGTTGTTGTTTACAGAAGTTCCTGACGGATAAATAAAGTTATTTCGATAAAGTAAACATATTTTCCAGTCGTAGTAGGTTATTAATGTTGTGCTTAAGTAAAATATACTTTACTACTTCTCCTCTCGGGTGTGTAACCAGAGGGAGGTCCCTGCCGCGTGTCACTACAGGATGTTTTGAAGCACGGGACGTTTAGTGTGCTGCAGCTTCTGCGCATACGCGGAACATAAAGGGGAAGAGACGCAGCGGAGACGGCGTATCTACATTATAAAGACGGTTCCTTATCGGTAGGATAACAGACGGAAACACAGGTAGGACAGGTTAATGCCGCATACCCACGGAGGTTAACTGGAAACGCGATACTTGTGCTATTTTGAGACATGTAAATTAAGTTATGTTAGCGGATGTTGACGTAGCCCGTTGGGAAACTTTTTCTTAACATTGCCTCATTAGCATTAGCAAACTTTTCGTATAACTTGTGTACAGTGTAGCTTTTTAATTAGCCCGTCCAAACACATAGACACAGTACGCTTTTGTTTACCTTAAAGCTCGGTGAGTCTATAAGTTATCTACTCTAACCAACACACAGTGGGCTCAGTCAGGAGAGTCAAAATATCAAACAGCTGTCAGGACAAGGAAGAGGGAGAAATGTCTGCAGTCAAACTGAACCTAAATTATCTGCTGCGTTGTTAGTTGTGTTATCTCGCCATCACATTTCACAGGAAGGGTCAACGACCATCTTATAAACTTTTAACTATATCACTTTATAACTGCGTCCGCGTGACTCTGGGTGCGTGCTCCATCTATTTTAGGGCGGTGGGGGCGCGAGGGCCTTGTTAATGACTTGTGAAGATTTGGGATTGGACATGGACTGCAGTACTGCAACCACACAGTCACTGACAGCCTCATCTGTGCTTCAGGACAGGTCATGGTTCAGCGTGACAGAATCAGCCTAAGACCGAGTTTAATCTTAGAAAAATTAAAGCCCACTGTTGTAATTATGATGCTACACATGTCTTTCTAAATAAAGTCAAATAATCAAGATGTTGTAACTCAAGTTCTGTATAATTCTCAGGGTTTCCATTTAATGTTGCTTTGAACTTATGCTTTAAAATTCAGATGTGGATATGAACTTTTTACATATCTACATAGTTACTTTTGTTCTACATACAAATACAGGTGGTCAGTTTATAAAATACTATGCATTTTCATAAAGTACTCAACAATATATAAAGTATACTAGCTTTAGTTCCAGAAGCTACAAAAAGCTGCTCACACAGCAATGCGGCTGTAAAATAGAGCTGCAACTAACAATAACTTTCAGTAGCGAATTTAACTGTGAAGCATTTTCTCGATTAATGGATTAGTTGTTTGGTCCATAAAATGTTGGTAATTACCTGAAAAGGACATGGTGACGTCCTCAGATGTCTTGTTTTTCCCCAACCAGGGCTTGAATTTAAGTTATTCCTCATTGTCCAACTGTCACTACGTCTCGCACTTTCAGCCGTCTGACTTAACAACCATTTAAGTTTCTTTTCATTTTACATAGCAACTGTAGTTTAATAACATCACATTGACTCTCTCTGGTCGTCCATGGAAGTTCCACTAGTCGTTTCCTACAATTATATCGGAGTAAAAAAATGAAATCACCCTAGGTGTTTTTCTACAATCAGTTTTCCTTATTCTTTTCTTTATTCTTCATTGGTTGAGTTACTGTTTCTTGTTTATTTCTAACTGTTTGATCAATAAATGCATCACTACAAACTGCAGTGCAAATCCAAACCTATTTCCTTGACTGGTATACAGCGATGGAAATTTACATAGACTTTGACCATTGTTATGTTTTTTTAGCCAAATAATCACAAACACACTACAGGGACATTGTATATTTGAAGTTAAAAAGTAAAATAAAATGAAAATCTACAAAGAGAGGGAGAAGATCAAATGAAGTATTTACGTATAAGCTATAGAAACATCCTGAGAAAGAGTGAGAGAGAAGGTCAAATGTGCTCCACAAGCTTTACCTACTGACTGCCTTCATACAATGCAAGAAGACAGGTAGAGACCCTGACGCTATTGGCACAAGATCTGTGGACTTTGTGTGTGTTAGCGCACACGTGATGTAGCGTAAAACTCTTAACACATGATTTAAATGATATACATACAGCTCTACTGTAATAATATTCCAAGGATATTATGATAAAATGACACCAGAGAGGGCCCATTCTGCTGCATAATGAGCCAAACATTCAAATCCCATTAACATACCATTACTTAAGATTTACTTGCTTGTTACAGAGTTTGTAGAAACTTTTATTTTGCTACTTTCATAAGATCTGAAACTGGAAGCAAGAGCTGGTAGGCTTTCAGTGCAACCAATGATGACACCACAAAAGAAAAGTTGTTTTAAAAAAATTTAGTCTGGTTCTCTATTTTTAAGGATTTTGTGCTGTTGGTTGGACAAAATGAGCAATTTGAAGACGTCACCTTGGGCTCTGAGAAACTGTGACCAACATTTTTCAATATTTTCAGACATTTTATTAACTGAACAATAAACTGACAGATTAATCAGTCATGAAAATAATTGTTACTTGCTGCTGTACTATTTTTCCCAGGACATTTCTCAAGATATACTGTAATCAATCTCTGCAGACAAACGGCTTCCAGTGATGTCTTCCCCGTGGTGGGAGCAGTGGCCCCTGCTGGACAGAAATGCCACCGATCGATCAGGCATAGACAACAGTAGCTGCATCAGCTCCAAACAGAGCACCGTACTCAAGGGAGTCCAATTTGGAGGAGTTCCAGTTGTGTTACTGCTTGATTTCTGTGTCTTTTTGGTATGTGTCTGTCCTCCTGCGTGTGTTGAAGACCCCAGTGATGTGTTTCTTTCTGTATTGTCCTTGTAGGCAAGAGACAGCCCCAAAGTCCTTTGTATTTTCTTTGTGTCACTTTAAAAATTGCACAAGAATGTCTTTACCATTATGCAACATTAAGCATTAACTAATAAATTGCATCTTTTTTTTTTTTTTAGGAACTTTACTCATGTCAAACAATGACGTGAAAGCTCACTGGTTATATTTCTCATGTCACCTACAGGTGTTGCTGATCCTCTTCACTATTATCAGGCGGAAGTTCTGGGACTATGGACGTCTGGCATTAGTTGCTGACGATGGGTTAGTTCATGATCTCACACGCTTCAAAGTTAATTATTACCATGATAGACAAGCACTACAAGTAACATGCATATACATAAATACTGACCAGAATAGTGAGATCTTCTCTTTTTCTTTTTTTGTGAATTTGATTTAGTCTTTGACATTGAACTTTATCCATTAGGTTAAGTGAGTCAACACAACGTCAGGTTGGACACAAGTCGTCAATTCTGGCCAGCGTGGATGACCCTGAGTATGAATTGGTATGTAAAAGAAAATCTTTGTCATCAGTTTCAGCTGTAAAATCAGTATTCATAAAGCATAAAAGAATAAGTAACGAGATAAGTGAGATAAATAATCACCTTATATGTATCACATCATTACCTACTGGCTTATCAGCACTGCTATTTTAAAACACACTTAAATGCACTTTAAAAAAACTGAGATGATTTTTATTTTGCTGACTTGACATGATATTGTATTAATGTGGTTTTAGTCTCAAGTCTTGTATGTTGGTGTAATCGGAATGTATCTCTTTCTATTTAGGGATTCTGCTCTTGGCTGCCTTACATCCTCAGAATGGAGTGAGTGTAGTTTGTTTGCTGGTCATTATCACGCTGTGTGTACAAGCCATGTGTTGATTCCTTCTAATCTGTGTGTGTGTGTGTGTGTGTGTGTGTGTGTGTGTGTGTGTGTGTGTGTGTGTGTGTGTGTGTGTGTGTGTGTGTGTGTGTGTGTGTGTGTGTGTGTGTGTGTGTTTTAGCAAGGAAAAAATAAAAGCCAGATGTGGCATGGATGCTGTTCACTACCTGTCCTTCCAGCGTCATCTGATCGCCCTGCTGATGGTCATTGTTGTCACCTCCCTCGCAATCATACTGCCTGTCAACCTGACTGGAGACCTGCAGGGTGGGTTGGTGTACAATAGTGATGACAACCGGTGTCCGTTAATAGCTAAAATTACAGTTTACATATTTTTAAGGCTGTTTTATGTGCAGATTATGAGTCAGGTGTGTATTTAGTGTGTGTATTATTATGGCTTCAAATGTGAATCAAGCAATCAAAACTCAGCAGCTGCACTGTCCACTTCACAATCAGTGACTGTTCACTAAAGTATGTTCTTTTTTTCATAGCTGATTTTGACCAATTGATCATTAAAACACATTTTTTAAATCTAGGGTTAGGTTGCTTGTATTCTGACTCTTCCTGTTCATGTTTTAGTTTTTTTCAAAAAAGTTTTCTTTTAATGCTGTTCATGTATTTTAGGTTACGACCCAGAGAATTTTGGAAGGACAACTATTGGGAATCTTCAAAAAGGGTAACTACAGCATACGATATATAAACAAAAGTTTGTACTGGAAACGACCAACAGTTTTGTGGTTTGGTCATGACAAAATGCATCTTGGTGTCTTATCAATTTTCCTTCTAGAAACAACCTGTTATGGCTACATACTGTGTTTGCAGTTCTGTACCTGTTCCTGACAGTTATTCTGCTGCAACGTCACACATCAAAAATCAAAGACCTGCGCAGAGACACAGTAAGTCTCTGACTACAAGAATACAAGATTCATTAAAGCTATGCGCATCTGCACTTGGTCTAAATGTCTCCTATAAATGTATACATTTGAATAGAGTCATTTTACTTGTGCATATTACTTGTTTTATTGTCTCTGTTTATTTTACGTTGGATTCCACCTGTCTCTGAGGAGCTGAGCACATAATGAAAGACTGTTTAATTATATGAAGTAGATGATGAATGTCACTCACCTATAATGATCATACTGTCTCTCTATTTGTAGACCAGAAACACTTTGTTTGTGTGTTCAGTACCTAAAGGTGCAACAGCAGAAGCTATAAAGACCCATTTCTCGTGAGTAGGCTCAAGTGACAATTTTTCTGTTCTTTGTTAGATTGAATTTTGTTGTAGAGTCTTGCTGTAGTGAACTTGCATGTCACTTTAAATGGTGGCCACTTTCTCCATTCCTCAATGTCAGTGCTGTTTTTGTATAGAGAGGCGTACCCTACCTGTAAAGTGTGTGCTGTGACCCTGGGCTATGACGTGGCTAAGCTCATGTACCTTGATAAGGAAAGGTAAGTAGTCAGAAATGACCCTAAATAAGAATCATGTGATCTGTGAAAATGGCCACAAAGTCATGACCGATAGAGCCTTATTGTGCACAGTTCATTGTAAATAATAAGGTTTCTTTTTGGTGCGTGCTACTAATTAATATTTTTTATTTTATCAGTATCTAGCTTCATTTTGCATTGTGAAATTATTGTGTGCAGAAATAATAGTCACCTCACACAGCAGCTGTAGTGAGCGTTTTAGCATCCTATGGCTCATTATTGAGTTTTATGGCCCACAAATTTAAGCATCAACATGTGATGCATATTCCAGGCCTAGATATGTGTATTTAAAATGTTTAGGGATATTTAGCTGTATTTTTACTAAGTCAAATCAACTTGTATGTGCGTTTTTGTTTGTTTTCTTCACCCCAGGGTGAGAGCTGGAAAAAACCTGCGCTATTATGAACGTGTCTTAGACAACACAGGGATACGTGAGCTGATTAACCCACGTTTGTGTGGTCACCTCTGCTGCTGCACCAGCTCTGGGAAGGTGAGATGGACCAGATGATAAGTCAGGTTTTGTGCAGGGGTTCTGGATGCTTTCAGTTTTTATTTCACAATTTAGGTTAAGAAACGTAAGCAAATAGTGCATATACCTATTATTATAATTATAATTATAATTTTTATTATTATTATTATTATTATTACTGCAAACTCTAAATATTGTGATAAAATGAAAAGGGTTGTTTCAGTTTTATTATAGCATTTAATCTTTGTGTGTCTTTCTCCAGGTTGATGCTATTGAATACTACAGTACTAAAGAAAAAGACCTGCTGGAAGAAGTGAGGAAGCAGTCAGAAGTGGTGCCAGAGCGCCCCCTGGGGATTGCCTTCGTCACCTTGCAGACCGAGGCTATGGCCAAGCAGTGAGTGCCAATTTAAAGGTGTTTTTCTGTCAGTACCTGTGTCTGTATTTACGGGAGAAGGAAATACCAGGAATGATTGGTTGGAATATAGTATGTGCCAATGTTTTCTACCACGAGTAGCTGTCTGGCAGCGGTGTTATATCAGCTGACTTGGCTTGCTTCTCTGTTTTTTTTTTTTGTTTGTTTTTTTTTGTCTCTTGCCTGATCAGGACGGTGATCTCTGGATTTTATTGTCCCCACATATATTTTTACCGGAAGCAGGCCTTTGGGCAGCCGTTATTGTTGAAAGCTGGCTAATATGTAACAGCTGTCATTTACTCACTTCAGCATTCTGAAAGACTTCAATGCACTCGAGTGTGGGGACAGAAGCTGCTGCTGTGGGAGGCTGCCCCAACCTTCATCCAACTGTCAACCTCTGAAAGTGAACCAATGGAGGGTCAGCTTTGCACCCCATCCCAAAAATGTGTATTGGTAAGGTCTGAAACACCAACCCTTCACCCACTAATTGCTCCATGCAGATCATATGACTTGGTATTTATAATACTGGTGCCAATATGGCTGGGCAATAATTCAATATTATCATTACTTTATTTTTAGTGGAATAATATGATCTTATTCTTTGACAAAAGTCTGATGGCCAAATGAATGACTCCAATTAAGTTTTTATTTTTTTATACGTTGTAATGTTTGTTTTGTAATGCAACAGTGGAACATAGTTAATTATATTGAAATAGTTAAATAGACCAGTTCAAAAATGTTGTATGTGATCTTGCAATGTGGCAAAGCAAGATCAGACTCTACACTGTTACCAGTATCGAGTCCGGTTGTCATTAAGGAGAGCAGCACAGCAACACTAGCAGGCTGAAGTGGAAAAAACACTATAGAGTTCAGTACCAAAAAGATTGGATTATGACGAGCTTCATTTTAACTGGTATTGAGCCATTAAAGTATACCCGGATCTGATTTAATACTGATCCCTAGGATGGATTAGGGATACCCCTTTACAGAAATGCAACATGGCTTTCCAAATATAAACTGTGTGCAAAATAAGAGAACAACTTCAACTTTCATTGTATGAATACTGAAAAGAGTGCTAAAGCTAATCGCTAGCTAAGCGCTAGCTTTGGTTAATGTGTTTGTGTTAATATTAAAATCATTCAGCTTTAAATTGTTTGCTTGTTAGCCACGGTTAGCAACCAACCAGTCTAGCGTGTAGTAGTAGTTGTTGTTATACGTCATCTAGCGCGCGCCGGTAAACGTCCCATGCTGCGTTCATGCAGGCTCGGAAATGCTGAAGCCTACAGAACAAACCGGTTATAAAAACCCGATACCGATAATTCCCGATATTAAATTTTTTAGTGAATATCGTCTGATAACATCGGAGGGCTGGACATCCCTACCCGACACTGTTGTGTTTTCTCTGCTTTGAACTGCCTGGTTGTGTGTAACTGCTCTGTTGCCTCTGTTATTTATTTTTCCCCCATTCCCACAGGCAAAGTCTCTCAGTGCAGGGTTTCTCCTGGTTCATGCGCTACATGACCATCAACTTCTTCCTTTTTTTCCTGCTCACCTTCCTCACAACTCCCACCATCATTATCAACACCATTGACAAGTTCAACGTGACTAAGCCCATCTACTATCTCAATGTGAGACTCACGCGTGCAGACATTCATACTTGTCACAATTGTGCTTTTCCAAGCTAAGTTTGTTTTGTTTTTCACCCTAGAGCCCTATAATCAGTCAGTTCTTCCCCACTCTCCTGCTGTGGACCTTCTCTGCGCTGCTGCCCACCATAGTCTACTATTCTACTCTAGGAGAAGCACACTGGAGCAGGTATTACACACACAATGGTACTGTAGTGATTGGTTTCTGAGGAAGAAGGAAAATGTTTTGATCCGGTGCCATGTATGTCCCAGGTCCAGTGAGCAGCTGAGCATGATGCGTAAGCTGTACTTCTTCCTGCTCTTCATGGTGCTCATCCTGCCCTCGCTAGGACTCACCAGGTAATTTGCATTACCATCAGTTTGAATAGGCAAAAGATTGCCCAGCATCTAGGCTAATTGTTTATTTATAGTAATAATTTAGTTGTAGTTTACTCTATCAATCAGTAACAGTAACATATGGGGAACATACACACTTCAAAATTGAGGAGAATGTGACTTGCAGTTGACATGTAATATTTTAGAATATAAAGAAGTGGCTGAAAGGGACCCCTCCCAGGCTAATGGATTCACTTCTGTTTTTCTCTGTTAAGTCTCGCAGTGCTTTTCCGCTGGCTGTTTGATAAGGAGTTTCTCTCAGGCGCGAAACTGAGGTTTGAGTAAGTATTTCCTCTTATTGCTTCTCGGTTTTTAAAATTCTAATCAAAAATGTACTATCAATTTAAATGAAGGATTTTCAGACTATTTTATAGTCCTCTCACATTGATGATATGTATAAAAAGAGATGATATTTCAGTTTAGTGACACAGGTTCAGCTGTAGTCAAACATCTCTTTTGTTTCAATGTTTAACCCACTATTGCTGCAGTCACCAAAGACTGCATTGTTTTGTAATCTAGTTCCATATTTCACTTTTTAAAGGTTAGTTGTAATTTTTATTAAAATGTTCTTAATAAAAACTGTTTAAGTTTAAAGTGTTTGTAAAATTGTCTTTGGTTGGAATTTATAGTCCTCTTTTCTTTTATCTTTCTGTTTTCCTTTCCTTCCTTACACCAGGTGTGTGTTCTTACCTGACCAAGGGGCATTTTTTGTCAACTATGTGATCACAGCGGCCCTGGTGGGCTCTGGGATGGAGTTGCTACGGTTGCCAGGGTTACTGCTTTACACCATTCGCATGGTGTTTGCTCGCTCAGCTGCTGAAAGGAAATATGTCAAACAGGTTTGTGATGTCGTTGTCCATTAAAGGAATGCTACACCTAAAATCCATTACTATATTTTGTTTCACTATCTCATAAAGCCTGGAACAGAGAACTAATCTTTGATCCTTGATGAAGTTTGATGAACCAGCTGTGACTTGTGGAAGATTTAAAAAATATTTAGTGAGTTTTTGAGAAATGTCTTGATACTGTGCTACTGTTTTTAAGGGTCCTTAGTCAAATTCATAAATGGTGACCACTTTCAGAATATCTTGTGTTGGTTGCTTGGTGTTCCAGCCTATGCAGAATATGTAAACAAGTGTAAATGTGCCTATAAACAGATGTACAATGTGTGATAGAAATATGTATATATAATCTATAAGTGCTCTGGCCAAACAGTGATTCATGTATTTTCTCATGTGCTGTCTTTTCTTGTATATTCTAACTGAAAAGTTAGAGAAGAAGAAGAGAATATTTTGTTTGTGGTTTGCTTTATTCTCAGCCTCACCTCAATATTTACAAGTCAACTACTGTGTTTTGACTTTTGCTTACAGAACCAGGCCTATGAGTTTGAATATGGAGCTATGTATGGCTGGACCCTTTGTGTGTTCACTGTCATTATGGCTTACAGCATCACATGTCCTATCATTGTGCCTTTTGGTGAGTAGTACACTGTACACAAGCGTGCACTCAACACATTCATCATATCATCAGTGGATCTATTTCTCTTGATTGATCGATCGGTCAACCTTTGCCAGTCGGTGTCCTATACACACTTATTTCCAGGCACTTCAGTGGTAGGTTTTTTAAAGTGTGTGTGTATGTCTCTCTCTCACTCTCACTCTCACTCTCTCTCTAGGTCTCCTGTACATGATGCTGAAGCATCTGGTGGACAAACACAACCTCTACTTTGCTTATCTGCCAACTCACTTAGACAGCCGGGTCCACCTGGAAGCTGTCAATCAAGCTCTGGCTGCGCCCATCATCTGCCTAATATGGCTTTACTTCTTTTCTGTCCTCAGAACAGGTTAGAACCAAGTATTAACTATACCTGGAAAGAGTAAACATCAGTAAAGTGACCTGAGATTCACTGATGGCAATTAAATACTATGTCTTAACCATAGCTAATGATGTTATAAATCTGTAAGTACAGACACCATTTCTGAATGTTGTTGTTTTTTTCTTCATATCAACACTATAACAATAGATATACAGTTTCTAAACTGAGCTTGTGCCTTAAATTAATTAATAAGTATTAATGTGTCAAGTTAAACTTCCTAAGAGTTGAAAAGGCTCAGACAACATGTTTCTCTCAATGTTCAAAGTTCCCAAAACTCCCACCACTTACTATATAATTACATGTCGCCACATAATAAATAAAATATATGCCGCTATTTAAACTAAATGTGTATGTGGTGTTTCAGGTTTCTGGGCTCCCACATCTCTATTCACACTGGTCGTCCTGTGTATCACCGTCTTCATCTGCATCAGCTACGCCTGCTTTGGCCATTTCAAGTACCTCAGTCCGCACAACTATGAGGTGAACATTGTGTGCTTGTGTGTGTGCGTGCGTGTGTGACTTCTTTGCCACCTTCACACTGAGCCCTCATATTGTTGGTGTTGTTTTGCAGGTGAAAAAGGAGGAGGATGAGGAAGATGCTGAAGAGGAAGTGGAAGAAAACAACATGGTATTATATTTGTTCCATAACAAAATCCACAGGACAAATAAAGATCAGAACAAATTATACCATTATGCCAGCACAACAGATTACCCAATAAGTTAGTTAAACTCAAACTGTTTGAAGAAACCGATTGCATGAAGTGATTTAAGTTTATTAACTCAAACAATTTAAGCATAAAAAAAGTCATTCATACTGCTGTAATTAAGTTACTACTTGTTTTTTATGTGACTAAAATCAAATCTTTATTCTTTAAGAATTGACGCATACTTGGGCATATGAGGATTTATGAACTGAAATAGAAACCATTTTTAAAAAATCCTAAACTATAAAGTTACAGTTTTGTGATAATCTTACATTGAATGGAATAAACTTGAATTATATCACCAGTACTTAAATACTGCACAAGTTCAAGTGAACTAAGACAACTGCGTCATTACTACAATAATTCATTTTTAGTTGAGTTTACTTTATGAGATTGAGTGACTACACATGTTTTGGAGGATTAAGTTATGTTAACTTCCTTTTCTTAACATATGCTGCTAGGTTTTACAGTGATACCAGGTCGTCAGAATGTTTTCATCCCTGTTTTCTGAACAATAACAAAGAGTTGATTGTTGTTCATAATGAGCTGTTCTTACAGTGGACTTTGGTCTTTTTCACAGGCCAAGTTCATTTTGGAAGTGTGTTTGATCACCTCATAAATTTTCCAGAGCGTTATCTTTCCCTAATCCTCAACATTCAACATGCAGTATTGCATCACACACATCAGGGAGGATTAAAGGATTAACTAAACTAAATATTAAGAAACACCCTTAAGAGCCCTTTTGTTTGCTTTCATTACTCGTCTCTTTTTTTATTATGTCATTACAGGTCTACCTCCCCAGAGTGCTTAATCCCAAATCACCTGCAAGCGCCTCACAGGGGCCCAAATATCAGCAGTCTTACGGCTCTACAGAGGACAGCAAGGCCCACAACCCAGTGGAGGGAAGCATGTCAGATAGCTGAATCAGTGTATTGCAACAGAGTCAAAACTTTGGAGACGACTCCTGATTGTGAACCTGCTTCTTTCACAATGATTTTAGCATTGAAGCCAGGGTTTGAATTCACCTCCATCCTACTTGCTCAATCAGACACAGTCTGTCCCACTGAGAGGAAATATCCAGATGGTACAAGAGACGATGGTGCAATGGATTCCAAAGACTAGAACTAGTCCAACTTCCTAACCTTCTGCTTTTGGAAAGGAATGAGTTAAATGCACAAATGAGGACAGTGTGTTGAATTTGGATCATTATTTGCACTTGATCAGCACAGCACACACATCCATGAGAAATCTGCCTATTCTTCTATTATCAGTCATATCCGTCATAAAGCAGTGTTACTTGTTGTATTTTTATGTATGAGGCCTCTCTGTTAAGGACCAATTCACCAAGTAATGTGTCGCCAAAGCCTGCCATTTCAAACAAGCCATAATTTTTGTCAAAAAAGAATGAATTCATTTCTTGCACATGCCAAAGGTAATTACTGTATGAAGGGTATTACCAGAACAAGATAATCAAGCCAGCACCACTGATGCCAAAGAGGTGGACAAGCACAGCTTGCTGTTTTTTTTTGTCCAGATTTCTTCACAGTGCCTTTGTTTGATGCCAGAGGACACCACATGCCAAGGGAATAATTTATTGTCTAATGTTAATATTGCAATGTTTGTATCAAGAGAGGCCTGCCATGTGTTTACTAACTTACTAGGGTGAATGTTTTTACTTTTGTAATTTGAGAAGAGAACAATCATTTATATCAGTGCAGCAACCATCATTTTTGTTTTATTAAATAGGTCAAGGTTTATTTTTGTTTTATTTACAATGAAGTTACAGTTTTTCTTTCTCTTTTTTTAAATTTGCTTTTTAACAAGGAACTAAAACCTAAAAGCAGACTTGTATCTGTTCAGTGGTGGGTAATAGGAGTGTTGAAGTTAAATGCCTCAACTTTGTAGATGGTTTGTATATGTCAATATTTTAAACTCTTACATGCAGCTTTAAAACATAAACCACAGGAAAAACGATGCAGTTCTGAGCGTGTCTCGTCATTGGGGGGCACTGTCGAGCTGCAGTGGGGTAGCTTAACCTCTTAAATATTCATACAGCAGTGACAAAGGACAAATGCACAGTGTTGCATTGAGGATTTCTAACTTATTCTGACACTGGAGCCACTTTACTGGGTGACAATACCAGAAGCTCCACCTCCTCACCTGATCTTTCCCTATTGTCTCCCTTTCTGTTCCCTTTCTTTTTGCTTCCTCTTTTCGTGCCCTTTTCCCCTTTCTCACCACGGTACCTGCCACAGCTGAGTAAGACCTCTATTGTCATTTGAGTGCTTTTAGTGTGCTCTTTAGATTAGCACAGTTGTTAAATATGGGTAATGAAGTGCTAAGCTAACAACATATCTAGGTTATTAGCCATGGTGAAAAGAGGGGTTTGGACTGTTGGACGAGCATCAGTGTACCCTTATGGAGCCTCACAATAGTTTTTGAAATGAGCAACACAACTCAGGAAAAAGCAACTACTGAAGTAGTTCTTAATAGCTTAGCAGCAAATGAGTACTTCCTGGCTAAAGCACCTGACACTTTTCTCTTAGGCCTTATAGATGTGCACATTTTCACTTTCAGGCCTCACACGCAGACAAAGACTTTGAAAAACACTTGTAAGATCGGAGTGTACAAAGGTTATTGACTGTGCTTTAACCCTAATGTTGGACAAAGATTTAGTATTACAAAACAATCTCTCTTGTTTAGTCTTTCTCAAGTATTAATCCATTGTGTTTGTGTGTGATTAAGCAATAAAGACACTGTTCTCAGTGCTGAATGATCTGACCAGTACGCTTAAAAAAGTAATAAAACACATAATATAGGCTGGTTTTTGATGAAAATCTAATAACCACACAAACATACGCTGCAGGACTCCCATGCAAAGACGCTTGGAGGCAGATTCAGCAGACGTACGCTACCTCATCCAAGTCACATGAGAAAGCTGTGCAGGGTCAGGATGCGGGGGCACTAATAACTTGCAGATATTCTCATGTGGTGCCTGCCAGAGGATGAGCTGGGAAAGAGATGTTTCATATTAGACACCTGATATACTGTCTTTGGGCTATGTGTCTGAAATGTGTGTTTAATGCACTTGCTGCTTGAGAGGACTGTCTCCTGCAAGCTCGGCGGTGCAGGAGTAATGGGCATGTTAAAGCTGCAGGAGCCTGGGAAGCAGCTCTGTCTATCAGCCAGAACTACAATGTAGAACTTTCCACACACACTAAACTTTGACCCGAAGTTAAACAGACCACAACTTCACTGGCTCAATTTCGGCCCACACGGTTCTGGGCTTCTAGTAATGGGTGTGTGAAAGTCTGATCTGAAGTTTGATCCAATAACATGCAAACTGGGAGCGGTTTCTGGCATCTGATGTTCAAACAACTCATTCAGATCTTCACACAGATATATATTTGTGATGTTTAGTGCCGCGTATAGGTACAATGCTCAACATCTGAAGGCTGAGTTATCCTGACCTTCAGTCCCTCACATAGGATGAAATCCAAAAACACTGGACCTACATTTCCCATAAATCATTTAATCTGTTCCAAGATTTGCCGGCTTTCGGATGACATCATCAGGGTTAATGTCTTCGACAAAAATCAGATAATGAATAATTTTTTGCAGGCACATAACATACAAACATTTTTCCCCTTCAGTATCCCTAGTAGAGTATCCCTTCAATTTGTGTGGTCTGGTTAAAATATAAATGTCCTTGAAAGAGAAGCTCTTTTTAAACCAAAGTAGCTATTAATTAATTATTCATTTATCATTGAAAAATATGCTGAATTGTGTGCTTGCCTCTACAGAAATTTTTAATTTTTGCATGTTCAGCTGGCCTGTTTTGCACCAAAAGTAGCTCTCAAGGTTATGTTAGCATTTAATTTGAATTTATGTATATATTTGTCTATTTTTATAAACTAAACTGAAGAGGAGAAAGTGTTGATACTAAATAGATTTAAAAAATACAGAAGTAAAGGAGGAGAGTAACAAGAAAATGGAATAAGCTTTGGAATTTGAGGAGAACGGATAAAACCTATTGATGATAATAATTATTGGTTTGGAGCAGATTGTTGGCACCTCGGCTCATATGAAGCAGTGATTTAGCCTGTAAGATATTAGTAGCTTAGACAACACACCCCTCCACGGGACAAAATATTTATCCAGCGTTAATCCAAAACCTCTGTGACTGTGTTTAGGTGTGCAACCCACTGAACTCAGTGCCCTCTGTGGATTCTTGGTATTGTTGTCGTCTGTGCTTTTGTATATCACAGACACTATTATTTAGTCACTTTTAGTCACTCCCTCTCAGTATTCACTTCATTCTGCTCTCCCAGGCTACTGAACTTAAGAAAGAACCACTGTGTGTGTGTGTGTGTGTGTGTGTGTGTGTGTGTGTGTGTGTGTGTGTGTGTGTGTGTGTGTGTGTGTGTGTGTGTGTGTGGGTGGGTGTTTATATATGTGTGTATCAAACAAGAATTAAACCCATTTAAGGTTCTGAGGTTTTGAGGTCAGGTTTCCTTCATGTCACCACCAAGATCGATGGATGTGACCTCTGACTGCTCCAATTTGTATATAAACATGGCCCTGGCCAATCACGGCATCGCGTGGGATGGTGCCAACCAATGAAAGCATCTGGCAGCATCGTGCTCTGTGGCACTCCCATCTTTTGTCCGTCAGGATTAGTGCCGTGGCAACGCTGGTCGCCTGGGAGGTGAGTTTCCCAGAGCAGCGGGACCAGGACAGAAACAGACTGCTTCATTCCAAGTATAACTTCCTTCCCGGCCAATTGGGAAACAGAAGTGGAGTGGTGTGTCTGTGTGTCACACTGTGGCCTCCAACTCCAAAACTTCCACCTACACTGCCAACTCTAATGAGGTGCCATCCTGAGCCACAAGCTCAAAGTGTGTTTGTCTGTGCGAGTGAGTGGGTGGGTTGGTGAGGGGCTGTCCTTATGTGCTCTCTTCTGTGTGGGGTACTCTGTAGAAAAGTCACCCCACTCTCCCTCTTTTTTCTGTTGGTGGACTACATTAGCCAGAAGGGCGGAGGGCCAGACAGCTGAAATCACCGCTGCTGATGAAGCATGTGACTCCAGACCGAGGCCCTTTTGTTTGGACAATTACAGCCAACACACAGAGCCCTGGAAATGCAGTGTGTCATGGGAATAGGCAAGCATGGGAATGACTGGACATTAGGACTTATTAAAACCTGGTTTTGTTATTTCAGATTGTTGTTCTTGAGAGAACCTGCCCACAAAGAGTTCTTAAAGTTACAACCCATAAAATTTTCATGAAATCAAACCCAATCTTTGATACTATTTATGGTCGGTGTTTTCCCTGTAATAGCTATTCAATGTGTTTACATTCTTTAATTACCTCTTTAGTTTGCATTGTTAGAGTTCCCATGCTGGTGTTTGAATTGCCTTCACGCCCTCAGGGAATTAACAAGGAACTACAAGTAAACCACATGTCCTACTTGCTGCTGCTTCACATTAAATTGACTAGTTAAATGCAGCAGCAGTAGGAAATGTAGTATTTGCATTAGCAGTAACTTGATACAGCTCAGATACACTGTTAGGTGGGTGAACAGTAAACAGACAGGCTAATATCAATGAGATCAAATTAAAAACAGTAAGAGCTGGAGTACATACATGCCTCATTTCATGTAAAAACACCTGTGCATGTGAGGGCAATCTGAATGGCAGACCCTGCCACAAACTATTTTATAAAGAGCCTATTACAAATACAACAGCAGAAACAAAAACAACCATATAAAGTATAAATGTATCTAAATTAAGTTCTTAATGGAGAAAGCCTCACATACTTGGATTTTTTCAAAGACTGTCAAGCAAGGTGACCAAAAATAGGATCCCCAAGCCCAATAAACAGTGTCGACTGTCAAAAATCATTTGTTGGACAGAACCCAAACATATTTTTCTAAGTGTAACTTAAGCCAACTTCACACTGTTTATAAGGGCTAAGACTGCTGGATCTGATCCAGGATAAACCAAACAACTGATGTCCGTTTAGTGTTAAACAGGATTTTGCTCCTTACGCTGCCCAGAGCAGCCAGTGATTTCAGCACTACTCAGTCTGCCTGTACATACAGTATAGATCACTGCATGTACTAAGTTCAGGAAGTTACATCACCAGCAAATGGTAATGAAAAACAATAAAGAACTGAAATGACAACGGAGAAAGGTTTCAGCAGTTCGAGTACAGTAAAGTGTCTCAATAAAATGCAGGTTTTTGGCGCTAGGAGAGGACCTTTGGAATTGACTTTCTGGAGCAGATGGCAGATGAAAACTTGGACCAGAAATCAGTAAAATCTGTAAATGAAAGGTTTCCACTGAATGTGAAAGAGGAAAATCAATGAAATATTGGGAACTTATGAACAAAGATTTGAGCTGAAAGAAAATCTCACCAGTAGAAGAGAGAGAAAGCAATAGAGGAATTCCACTATCAATATAAAAGAACTCTTTGCTACGCCACCCTTGGAAAGCAAACAGAATCGACTGCAAAATACAGATAAAACAACAAACTGCAAATATTCAACACAATGACAAAATCACACAGCACACACCTATCCCCTGCTTCCACCTCTCACATTGTAGTTAATGTTTTAACTTTTTCAGTTGCAGCCAAATCACCTCTGTAGCCTCAAGCCTAAAACAGACACACACACACACACACACACTGCCTCTCTAAATCCTATTTATGAAATTTCCATAAGCCCAAAAGGAAGCCAGTCTGCTGTATGTTGTGAGTCCATGTCACAAGCTGGTAAATTACCATGAATAATGGCCATGGGAGGACTTGTACGTCCATGATATCCCATCTCTAATTACAGGTATTTGTTTGTTACCAACCCAAGTGAACACCAACTCTCTCTCATGCTGTTTCTAGTCCCTAATACGGAGAAAAACCCACTACGCTATGATTACAGTGATAAGATGATATCCTAGCACTCCTATTCCCATG